ATATATATATATATGTATATATATATATATATATATATATATGTATGTATATATATATACTGGGTTATATATGTATGTATATAACCCAGCCGTGTAACTGGAAACAGCTGCACGCCGGTCCCAAGCCCGGATAAATGGGGAGGGTTGGAGAAAGCAATGGCAAACTACTCCAAATATTTTTTTGCCGAAATACTCTATGGATCACGACGAAACGCTCTCACGTATAGTGTCGGATGGCAGGACACCTGGGCCAGAAGGTACTCATACAGCTACCAGGGAAGATCAAGGCAGTGTTTCGAGTAGCTCAGGCACTAATGACGCGGGTAGGACAAATCCATTAGGACTCCTGTCTGCTGATGTAGCTCTAAGAGAAAGGACCTGTCTGCGCTTATCAAGAATCCACTTTTTTGGAACATGGAACGTCCGTGGCATGAACACGGGCAAACTGGAAATTGTAAAAAAGGAAATGCAACGGCTTAACATCGATCTTCTGGGCATCAGCGAACTTCACTGGAAAGGAAATGGCTATTTTAACAGCGATGATTACACTGTTTTTTATTCCGGAAATGATAGAATAAAGCGAAAAGGAGTAGCTTTTATCACGGCCAAGGCAGTCACCAAAGCTGTTCAAGGTTTCAAGGCAATAAATGATAGGATCATAGCCATACGTATAAATGGGAAACCTCGCTCAATCACAGTTTTACAAGTCTATGCCCCCACAACCGAAGCGGAGGATGAAGAGATTGAGAACTTTTTTTTCGATCTCCAACAAGCAATCGAACAGACTCCCACCAAGGATGTCATTTTCATAACTGGGGATTTTAATGCAAAAGTCGGTTCCAGTGAAGATAGTCCATATGTTGGCAAATTCGGGCTGGGCGAGCGGAATGTCGCTGGCGATCGCCTGGTTCAATGTTGTTCAGAAAATCATTTAGCAATCATGAACACATGGTTCGAACAACCAAAGCGGCGTCTATACACATGGACAGCTCCAAATGGTGTGCATCGTAATCAAATCGACTATTTCCTGTGCCAACAGCGATGGAAAAGCTCAGTATTGGCTGTAAAAACATCTCCTGGAGCAGATTGTGGCTCAGACCACCAGCTCCTTGTTGCTAAAATCAAACTACGCATCAAAAACACCAGACAGCCTACAGCAACACGTTGCTTTGATACAGGTAACATCCCTCCACTTTATGCCGTTGAAATCAAGAAAAGTTTTGAAGTGCTCTGCACAAATGGAAAAGACCCCGACGAACTTTGGGAGGAAATCAAAGCCATCACGCAAAATACAGCGGAAAAAATAGTCCCTTTGAAAAAACCAGGAAGAAGAACTCAGTGGATATCGGACGAATTGATCCAAATCGCCAACATGCGCAGAGTAGCCAAAGCTACTGGTAACAGCACAGAATTCAGAAGGCTAAATGCGATATTTCAAAGGAAAGCCAGAGAAGACAAAGAACATTACTGGAACAATCAATGTGCAAAGCTGGAAGAAGCAAACAAGTTAGGTCATACACGAGCTCTTTTCACCTATGTGAAACAGACCAGGGCACCGTTTGCAGCACGCAAAGCAGCGGCCATCAAGGACCACGATGGAAAATTATTACATGACAAAAATCAAATCAAGCGTAGATGGCGGGAATACACAGAAGAGCTGTACTCAGACCAACAAATAGGACCGCTGGAACAGGCATGTCAGGTCGAACAAGAACCATGCATTCTTGAGGAAGAAGTCGAGTGGGCTTTGAAACAACTACCAGACGGAAAAGCCTCTGGAATCGATCATCTACCTGTTGAACTACTAAAAGCAGTGCCGATTAAGCTTTTAACAGACCTATGTCAAAAAATCTGGTCCACCAAATCGTGGCCCAAGGACTGGAAAAGATCAGTCTTTGTCACTATTCCAAAAAAAAGGCGATGTCCAGGAATGCTCCAACCACCGTACTATCGCCCTCATATCTCACGCAAGTAAAATCCTTCTGAAGATCATACAGAATCGCATTGCAACAATTGTCGATAAGGAACTGCCGGAAGTTCAAGCTGGTTTTTGCAAGGGACGCGGCACTAGAGACCAAATCGCAAATTTACGTTGGATCATGGAGAAGACACAGGAATATCAAAAGGACGTCTATATGTGTTTCATTGACTACAGTAAAGCTTTCGACTGTGTTAATCATGAAAAGCTATGGAAGTGCTTGACACAAATGGGCGTCTCAGAACACATCGTACAGTTAATAAGATCTCTTTACAACGACCAAGAAGCAACGGTTAGGACGGCATACGGGAACACGGAGTGGTTTCAAGTCAGGAAAGGTGTTCGTCAAGGCTGCATCCTGTCACCAGTTCTTTTCAATCTGTATGCAGAAGTGATTATGAGGCGTTGCAATTTGGAAGAATCTGAAATTGGAATCAAAATCGGCGGCAGAAACATCAACCTTCGATATGCAGATGATACAACCCTGCTCGCAGAGAGTGAAAAGGACCTCGATTGCCTCGTCCGACGTGTGCAAAAGGAAAGTGAACGAATGGGACTGCACCTGAACATCAAAAAAACAAAAGTTATGACCACGGCAGGCAATGGTATAATAAACACGCAAATAAACAACACGGCAATCGAGTCTGTCCAAGATTTTATCTTTCTTGGTGCTAAAATGGACCGCTGTGGGGCTTCGGCTCCCGAGATCAAGAGACGAATTACACTTAGCAGGACTGCAATGCTGGGTTTAGATAAGCTCTGGAAGAGCAAGGATATTAACCTTGTAACTAAAGTAAGACTAGTCAACGCAATTGTCTTCCCCATAATGATGTATGGCTGCGAAAGTTGGACGCTTAGGAAAGAAGAGAAAAGAAAAGTCGAAGCTTTCGAGCTGTGGTGCTGGAGAAGAATGCTAAGAATACCTTGGACTGCTATGATGACGAACAAGACAGTTTTGGACCGGGTCAAACCATCAATGTCCTTACTGGGCAAAATTACCAAACAGCAGCTCTCTTATTTTGGTCACGTGATGCGTGCAAATTCTTTGGAAACGTCAATGATGCTTGGAAAAGTCAGTGGAAAAAGAAGACAAGGCCGCCAAAGAACGAGATGGCTCGACACAATAACGACAACAATGAATATGCCAATTGCGGAATTGAAAAAATTGGTGAAAGACAGGGAGGCATGGAGTTCGAAGATTCATAAAGTGACCGAAAGCCGGATACGACTGATCGGATAATCATCATCAATATATATATGTATATGTATATATATGTATATGTATATATATGTATATGTATATGTATATATATGTATATGTATGTATGTATATATATATGTATATGTATATATGTGTATATGTATATGTAT